CTTTTTTAATCACCCTATTCACATTGGGAATAAAACAAAAGTAGGCACAGAAAACTACACTGGTAAATTACAGTGCCTAGTGGTTCTGCCAGGGAGAGAATACAAACAACATTGACTAAAGGTTACAAGTAGATTTCCCAAATCAGAATCATTTCTCTGCGCATGTTTTGAACTTTGCCCTCAAAATCAAGTTGAGCTGAAGTCACATGTTGTTGAACCATGCACATAGCTGGGAATCATTTAGATAGCTATCATAAGGTGAATGCAAAATGCCGTAAAAAAAAATCTCTGTAAAAAAAGAAATCAGGCAAACCTACCCTATGACTGGAATAAATTATTTTTCTGTGTTCTTTCTTTTTGAAATAGTGAAGTGGTAACTGCAGATACAGTACAAATCAAGGTGGTTGTTGTTTAGTTGTTTAGTCGTGTCCGACTCTTTGTGAACCCATGGACCAGAGCATGCCAGGCACTCCTGTCTTCCACTGCCTCCTGCAGTTTGGTCAAACTCATGCTGGTAGCTTTGAGAACACTGTCCAACCATCTCGTCCTCTGTCGTCCCCTTCTCCTTGTGCCCTCCATCTTTCCCAACATCAGGGTCTTTTCCAGGGAGTTTTCTCTTCTCACGAGGTGGCCAAAGTATTGGAGCCTCAGCTTCAGAATCTGTCCTTCCAGTGAGCACTCAGGGCTGATTTCCTTCAGAATGGATAGGTTTGATCTTCTTGCAGTCCATGGGACTCTCAAGAGTCTCCTCCAGCACCATAATTCAAAAGCATCAATTCTTCAGCGATCAGCCTTCTTTATGGTCCAGCTCTCACTTCCATACATCACTACTGGGAAAACCATGGCTTTAACTATACGCAAATCAAGGTTAGGAAGTCACAAAATCTAAATATTCCTAATTTATAACCTTCCATGTTACAGGGAATGGGCAATGGCATCATTTCTGACATCACTGTTGGCGAATTCTCCCACTGATCAACCAATATTAGGAGTGGACTACATGTTCTGCCGGAATTATTCATTTTATTCATTTAAAACATACCCTGCCCGTCCACAGAATGAGCTACAAGGCAGTTTACATCGCAACATAACCAAGCATGGCATAATAACAAAATGACAGCACACAACAACGATAAACTAATCTTCAAGTTCCTTTACACCAGGAGTGGCGATTTATGAGCACAACACCCAATGGGGAGGAAGGAGAAGATACATAGCTGAGCATCCGATACACATCTCCCTGGGCAGAATGACTGCAGAGAGCACACATAGCCTTCCTGCAGAAGCGGATTTAGGGCAGCGCGACCGGTTCCTCCACACTGGGTGTCGAGCCCAGGGGGTGGTGCTGGGCACCACAACTATGACATGATGAATTGAGCAGAACAGAAGGTTAGAGGTGGTGAGGAGCACTGAATTTTGGGCTCGCACAGGTTGCTGCTGACATTTGAAAGACCAAAGTCTGCCTCTGCTTCCCGGGACAAGGGTTCATGACCCATCCAGGGGGTATTTTGCCCATCAGACACAGCCTGGACTCAAAAAAGCATCCACAGATGCTGAAAGCAGCAACTGGCAAGGGTTCCCTTAGGAGGTGGGAGCTCAAGACCCACAAGGAGAAAGGGATGAATGTGGTCTATTTGTGTTTGGGATGGCTGGGGGGAAATGAGATGGCAGGAGGTTAAAAAACGGGGGGGAGCTCCCAGGATGTTTGTTTTTGCTCATTCATCCTCACGCCCATCTCTCCCTCTCCTCTTCACCCCAAATTGACCGTCTCGTACACTTTGGCAGCAGCACCTATCCCATGTGAACTTCTGAAGGCCTGCCTTCTCAAATTAAAACAGTTCTAGAGTGCACAGAAAAGAGGCACTCCCATCCAACTTCTGTGTCCAGCAGAAGCCAATGTTCCCATAAATCGAAGGAATGTAAGCTACGTTGTTATGTGCAGTCGTTCCCCCCCCCACCTGCCATGCCCGCCCCCGGCTTTGCCAGTGAAGTGCTAGGGTGAAGCTATGAGAATCTCCCCTGGGAGGAAATTTTGCAACACAGGAATAACTTCTGATAAGACCCTATCTCATGGAACCACTTGCCTAAACCTCTGGTGGATAGGCATATGAAACAGAGCCTCTGAAGATTATCAGAATGAAAGAACAGGCTGATGTGAGAAAGGGCAATGCAGAACAAACTGCACACCTACTCTCAAATAATATCACCCCCCCAATAACCATAGCCCAGACTTGTTCAGAAACTCAACTGCTATCCCAAGACTGTAACGACAGGAGAAACAGAGCTGAATATTGCACACATGTTGGATGTCACCACACCCCAGATTTTCAGTTGCTCCAGAGATTTAACGTTGATGTTAAATAGCACATGGGGCAAGATAGCACCTTGCAGCAACCTGCAAGCCAGCGCCCATGGGGTGAAGCAGCATAAAGTACAGAATCGTGCTATGGTGCCCCTTAGTACCATCTGAGCAAGGCAGCCCAGGAGGATACAATTTCTATCAGGTTCCAATGGCTCTGAGAAGTCCAGGAGAGTCAATGATGTTACTGGAGCGCACTGTGATTTACTTGATAGTGCTCTTGGAGCACTCTAAAGCTCAATGGTTATTTTATGGAATCGGAACTTTAAAATCTAATAGAGTGATTTGAACACACATTCTCTGCTTGGAATAGATGCTTCAACCACCACACTTTAGAAGGCATGTGTCTTCATCTTCAGACACCCTGACCTAGAACTTGCCCCTAGCCCACGGAGTAAAAGACCCTAGCTTACATGCTGTGCAGCTTTGAAGGATCTGGTTGTTCTCAGATGTGACATTTGGCGACTTCTTCATACAGGCATCTGGCTGGGGTGGTAGCCAGTCAGTACTGCAAAGGTGGTGAATCCAGCTTGCCAAATGTCACTGGGAAACCTCAGGCATCCCAGACTATTGGCCATTCTGGCTGGGGCTGATAAGTGGAAGACCATGGGATCCCCAACTCTGCCACAGAGTGATGGTTGGGAGCACCGCCTTGCCACAGGTTGGGGGGCTATGCTGCAAACTTTTCAAGCAGCCAACACATCCCCACAGAGATGAATTATGCAAGGGGCCTGGACCCACTGCCAGCAGCTGCTTATGGCGCCATTAAAAAGTAGCACCCGTTTATTACCCAGCAAGCCCACAACTTCTGCGCACTTAACTTGTGCGTGTTCAGCTTTGGCATAAAAACAAACCAAAGAAGGGGTCGGGCATCTGGGAAAAGACACTTTGGCAAGCCCACCCTCCACTGCACCCGTGTATCTTGACTACACGCGACCTCGGCTTTGGACGCGATCCCTGGCTTGCTGTGTTTTAAGTCCGAAGCGGAAGTGACACGTAGATCGCCTGTCCTAAAATGCCCCAAGCTGCCCCAGCTGAGCCCTGACTAAACCAGGACAACAACCCCTCATTCAGGCCCGGGGCCCTAACCAAGCCACGCGCGAAGCCGGCGCCGTCCACTCTGGGCTTCGCGCCCGAGACAATTGAGGCCTCGTCCTCCTCCTCCTCCCTCCGTCTCTGTCAGCGAGCGAGCACCTCCCTTCCTTCCCTTCGGGCCTTTCTTTTGGGGTGGGGTCGCTGCTGCTGCTGCTGCTGCTTTTGGCCGCGGCAGGTTCGCTCGCAGGGAGGGCGGGCGCGCGCGCTAGGGCGCGTTGCGTGCGTTCCCTGCCGAGCCGGGTGCCAGAGGCGCACACGCCTCTTGGCCCCGGCGAGGGACGAGGAAGAGACGGGGAAGGAGGGAAGGGAAGGGAGCGGGCGGGCGAAGCGCGCCGCAGCTGGAAGGGCGAGTTTGTCAGCGGGGCGGCTCCCGCTCTCTCTCTTGTCCTCTGAGGGAGGAAGGGAGGGAGGGGGGTAATTAGGGGCCAACTTGTGCGAGGCGCCGCCTTCTCGTATCTGCCTCCCGGGGGAAGGGAAGAGTCGGTGCGCGCCCGACTTGTTTGTGCGCCAGGGAGGGAGGGAGGCAGGGAGGCGGAGTGCCAGCGAGCGCCTCGCCTCGCCCCGACCCCTGACTCGGGTTGCGGTGCGCCGAGGCCTCCGCCCCAGCGCGGCGGAGAGGGGACACGCCCGGCCTGCCTCGCCCGCCTCGCCCGCCTGGCTGGCTGAGTGATTCGCGCGCCCCTCCCTGACCCTCCCTCCTGCCCGCCCTCTTAGCTACCCCGCCGGCCAAGGGAGCCTGGCAGAGCGAGCGGCGCCGGCGTCATGTGACAGCGCTGCCTAGTGCCAGGAGCCTGCCTTGGAGCTTGGTGGGGGGAAGAAGAAGAAGAAGAGGAGAGAGGCAGAGCAGAAGGCGAGGGCAGAGGCGCGACGGGCTGACAGACGGACGCGCCGCCGACGGACTAAACGCCCCTGCGGCCAAGCGGCAGAGAGAGAGAAACCCCCGGGTTTCCCCCTCGAGGGCGGAAAAAGAGAGGGAAGGAGGGTTTTTCCCGCTACCAGCGAGAGCGACGACAGCACCGCCGACTCCGGCAGCAAACTTCTTGCGGTGGTGGCGTCGTCGCCTCGGCTTCTTGGACAAGTTAAAGAGAGGGGAGAAAAGTAAGTCGCGCGAAGGGAAGGGGAGGAGGCAAAGGTGGCGGCTGAGGAAAGCGACGTGTCTGGTGGTGGCGGCGGCGGCGGCCGAGAGGTGTCTGGGAGAAGGGATGGGGAAGCGGGGAGGCCGGAGGGAAGGTGCTCCTCCCGCGAGGGGGGAAATGGAGAGGCTCCTGGACGCGCGCTCTTGGTTAGCGAAGCAGGAGGGCGCACGGGGGACTTGGGGGCGCTTCTGCCAGAGTGTTTGTGCAGCTGCAAAAGTTGTGGGGCAGCGAGGGGGGGTGTCTTGGGATCTGTCTCCATGACCCACCCACCCCCTGGGAGTGGTGGGAGAGCGACGCCTTGCCATTTGGAGTCGCCGCTGCCCCGTAAGCAGAAGGAACGCAGCAGCTTTTGGCGTTCACGTGTGTTTTCCCGATCTGCGGTGGGTGCGTGTTCGTGTGTCTCCCTCCTCCTCCTCTTGCTTTTCTGTTCCCCGTCTTCTGAAACACGAACCGTTCCTCCTGTCATTTGGAGCTGTTGGGGAGGAGAGCCGTCGAACAAAGATCCCATCTGCCGCAGCTTTCCTGAGAGGCTTTTTTTAAAAAAAGAAACACCTGGAGCTACTGGATTGCTTTCTTTCGACAAGAGCTTGCCGCTAACTAGACTCGGGATACTTTTCTTCTCCCTCCCAAGTGGGAAAGGACGTTGCTCCGTGTTTCTTTGCGTTCCCTTAACGTTATTTCGGTCTTCGCTGCATAAGATGCTCAAAACAAAACGGCAGCCCTGCATCATAACATCCTTGGAGATCTGCCATTTAAATAATTAAGGTGTCAGTTGATCGGGGGGTTGCTGCTTTTGTTATCTCTTCATGGGAGCAAGAAAGGGAAAATGAGAAGCATATATCAAGATGTGTGAATTATGTCCGTTTCTAGACACTACATACCAAACTAGAGAAGAGGACACATTTGTATAGCTTTTTTGGTTCTGTACTTAGTTAAGTAACATTGATATGCAATGTGAGTTCTCTTAAGGTTCTACTGTTTAGAGGTCCTCGTCGTCTGTTCCCCCCCAAAAAGAAGGGGATAAATAATTCTATTTCAATCACCAGTTTAGTTGCAGTTTGGGAAAGAAAACTTAATGTGCAAAACGTAAGTTTGAACATGAAGTCTGTTGCTTTTTTTCTATTACATGCATGTCTTGACATGGAGATGTCATGTGTATTTTCAGTTGATTTACAATAAGAATAATTGCATTGCTGAATAACTGCATTGAGTAGCCTGTCCACATTTTATCCTCAGTGGCTCACAGAGAGCAGTGTATACCCATTTTATTGTTTTTTTAAAACACATTCACACACTTTCCAAAGTCACCTAGGTTCTGGTGATCAATTTTTTAAAAAGAGTCTTGTGCATAATTGAAAGGGACACCAGCACTTTGCTTCTTTCCTTCCTGAAAGTTGCTTTCTTTGTGCTTAAAACATTACTGCTTATCTTGGATGTTTGTATTAATTTCCATATGGAACATAACTTTAGCAAGAATCCCCCGTTTTTATTTAGGGAATTGTGCTAAAATTCACCAAACAACACACTTTGATTTAGATTAACATTTAGATTTCTTCTTACTGCAGCAATTCATAAACTCTCACTTTGTCCATTTTTATTCTTATGCTGAGTTATCTCTCAACTGAAGTGTGTGTGCAGCATCTCTTGCACAGTTGTGTGTGTGGCCTTTTGTATGTGTGGCAGGAAGTGCCACAGTTCACAGGGCTCACCTTTGTTGGAGAAATCGGAACCTTGCATAGATGCAGTACTTTGAAAGATTTTGAGTCCACAAAAGTGTTATTTTCTATAAAAGGCAAAAAATTGGGGTGTAACTTTTCCCCCATAGTTTTGAGAACTTTTCCCATAGCTTGCCTAATGAGTTGCTTGCATGATCCAGACTTGGATTTGGTTAAGATCAACAATTTGACCTAGGAGTAATGTACATCAACCTAACTTTGGCTGCTAGGCTTTAAAATGTGTTGGTCAGTTTTGTAATATGAATGCTTTCAGATAAACTCTTTCTCTGGCTCCCTTCCTCACCAAAGCAAAGGTATCTAGGCAGACTTTTTGCTTTGACTGAATTTTATACTGATAAACAAAAAAGCAAGATAATATCTGAGAATAACAGTTGTGTAGTATGATAAATATTATTATTATTATTATTATTATTATTATTATTATTATTATTATTATTATAAAACCTGGTTGTAAGTGTGCCCTACTATTCTGCCTTCCTGTTTTTGCAAACACCAAAGTTATTATAAACTAGTAACATTCACAGAATGTTATGTCTTTGGTGGAGGGGGAAGACTTGTGCGAACCTAAGGCTGTAATTCTATGTGCACACTCACTTTGGAGAAAACCCCATTGATGTCAGTGGTACTTCTGAGTAAACGTTACAGAATTGCACGGCAAATAGAGTTTGTGCCAATTTCTGAACAAAATTTGAAAACTGGTGTTCTGATTAGAAAATGCATGTCTTTTAGGAGCAACCATATCCAAACATGTGTCCAAACAGAGACTAGACTAGTGTTAAGAGGAATCTGTAGCAGCAAGTTTAGTGATTGAGACCCAAATCAAAGTTCAAATCTGAACTTAGTTGTTATGATGCTTGCCAACAGAATATAGGACATCCCTTGCATCTGGCGTAGTAGACGGCTGCATGACCTGTTCTACTGATCTAGTTCACAATATGTGAAATATGAATGCCATATAAAGTAGTATAATATGTAGAAATCAACCAGATATAAAATGGGCAACAGGTATTTTTCTGGAGGTTTTTGTGGCCCATCTGTGGGTTCATAGCTATCATAATGGGAGCAAGCCTTGGACACTTACGGTTCCCCTCTCCCCTTTGCTCCCCGCAACTCCAAGAGGAAGTTTTTGCTTTTGATTAACTGCATTTTAGCATCACATCCAGATCATATAATGTGATTAAACTTAACTTTATTTTCTTCCAAACAAAGAGAGTTTCATAACCCATGGTTTGAAGTTGGTTTGTTTCAAACAAACCATGGTTAAATTTAAACCAACATTTGTTCAATCGGCCTCAACTTGTCATTTCATCGGAACTAGCATCCAAGACTTTCTGACTCTCATTCTTGTCATCACTGAGCCATGGTTTATTGTGATATCCAAATAAGCTCACCATATGCCCTAGTGTTTTCGTCTTACAATGATCTGGCTCATGCAACATGCTAAACTTAGTGCAAATGTATGCCACTTAGTGCAACCACCACTTTGATCCTCCTTGGTTGTTTGCTGCTGAGCTAAGCCATGGTTTGCCTTAGCGTCTCATTAAAACATGGGCTCGTGACCAAGCTCTCATAGGCAAACCATGAGCCATAAACCATAGGACAAACCTTAATTACGGCTCATGGTTAGCCTGGAGAGAACTAAACTATGAGTCTGGCTTCAGCTGACACACTAAGCCAAGACATGGGTTAGCACAGTAGCAGAAAGACCAGGGTAGCAAACGTGGCCTCACTCTACCTGCTTGCAGCCTGCAGAACCATGGTAAGCTGTGACTTGAGCTTGCATGTCATGCAAACCAGGCTACGGTCTGGTGCGTCAACTTTTATTTTCAATAAATTTTAGGCACTATTATTGGAGCTCCAGATTGTTTGTAATGACCTCTCATATTAAGGAGATATTGTACAAGTAGAGAAAGGAGGCTAGAAAGTGCAATAAAATAATGGCTGTTGGTTTCGTTCTTTTTTTGGGGGGGGGTAGATACTTTATTGGGAGCAAGAGTCCACCTCAACCCTTGATAACAAAGTTTGCGTTTGTATTTCAGAATTTTTTAAAAAAGTAGAATGCTTGGGAAGTCCAGAGTTAATTATTCCGAGCTGTCTGGAAAGGGTGGGTGCAAAGGAAATTGCATGTTGTGGTCAGCGTTTGAAACTCCCATTTTTCTAGGTGCATTTTGCAACAGGGAATTTCATTAATGTGAGCAGTTTCTGAGCTTTGGGGGTAGTACTGTGCCTTAGATTTCAGATTAAAACTCCCACTGCTGGAACGAAAGGAGGACCTTTTTCTGCCTCTCCACTTCCAGCCACTCTCTGAGGACTGGAGAAAGGACCCTCATAAGGGGGGTGGGCAGCGGAAGTATGGCTTTGTGGTTTGCAGCCTTCAGATGAGGACTAGACCACGTGAAAAAGGAATATGAGATTTTAGCTGCAGTTCATTCATTTTCAACCTTGTATTCTTGTTATAGACATTCGGTTGCGGCACCCATAACCTAGGTTTAAGCTGCCCTTTAGCTCCCAGCTTTCATATCTCAGTGGTTATATTGTCCCATATAGATATTAGTCTGGTGTTTGTCAAGGGCAGGTCTGCGATATAGAGACAGGTTGTTTTTTTCACACCCAGAGACCAAGCACTTTACACGTTACACCCACTTTGCTTGCTTGTTTGTTTGTTTGTTTGTGAAATCCCAGCTGCAAATGAATATCGGGGTCAGGGAAGGCCACCCAAATGTTTCTCTGTGCTTTCTTTCCAGCCCAGCCAGCAGAGCTGTTTCCTGTTCTTTGTTTCAAGGCTGGGGTTTGCGTCATACATTCCAAGTAGCATATGTGTGCTCTTTCCTGTTTCGGGCTGTTTTCTGGTAGATCAGTAGCCCAGCCACAACCCCTTGTCACTGCCCTACAACTCCCAGTCTCCACCCAGCAAATTATCATGTCTCTACACACTCAGCGATTGCCTAAGCAGCCTGTGTTATGTCACAAGGAGCCTGTGTTAGCATTTAAACTCCCACATTCTGTGCTAAGGCGCGCAATTAAGGATACTTGCTGGGAGTGGGGAGGTACAGGTTTTTGAGACTTCAGAAGGGGAGGGAAGCAGTGGTGTGAATTGGAAGTAGTTTCGCTGAAATGCATGAATGTTAAAAGTTTTTCTTTTTTTTTAAAAAAAGCAGACCACTCACTAATGCATGTAAATTCAACATCTGTTCTGGAAGGTCTTTTTTTTTTCTAGGAAACATAGTTTTGGTTAAGCTTTACCTCTCTATGGTGGTGGTAAAAATGGTACTTAAAATATGTAAAATACATTCAAGTGATCAAAGCCTTTCACGTTCATCATTTTAGGCATGATGGGGGAAGCCTAACCCAAAGCAAAGTAGAATTGGGAAATTAATAGTGTTTGGAGGCACTCTGTATTTTAACTCCAGAATTTAACTTCTGCCATAAGGTAGTTTGTCATCTTCCCAAACCACTCATGGAAAATGACTGTCCAGCCTTTTCACTTAAAACCCTAGTAAAACAGATCTCTGTGCACATCATGGAAGTGTTCGTAATCTGCATGTGAAACGGGGAATTACAATTTCTCTTTGCAATGCGAAAAACTAAGCATTCTTCGTTTGAATGAAATAGTGTGTCCGATTGGGAATCAAGGTTGCATTCACAAGGAAAAGAAGGAGAAAGAAAAATGTTCCAAGAGGAAGTTCAGAAAGAGAACTTTGACCATCTGTATTATTATTATTATTATTATTGGGATTTACTACTGATGGATCATTTCACAGCTAACTAGTATTCTGTATTTACCCAGATAAGGAGGTTTGTGCATGGAAGCAGGCTTTTTGCATGCCTGGCATTTGTTGGAACGGGGCCATTGATGTAAATTGGATATACATCTGGATGCAGATGTTAACTACCTGCATGATACTACTTTCAGCAGGATGCTCATTTAGCTGCACATCTGCAACCACATTCTGGTGCAACTGGTCATGCAAAACTACATGTAATAAGATCTGGATTGGGGCTTATATGGCACAATTAGCTGAAGTTAAATATTCCCTCAGTTCCATTAATTTCAAGCAAGCGTTTCCCACTCTTTCCAACTGAGATCAATGTGGGGAATTTAGTAACTTTAGGTTGTTGTGCCCATTCTTCTTAGAGATACACTTACGGTATTTCGCATTTTCTTCTTCTCATAAGTACGGATTTCACGAACTTATTTGTGTATATAACAGAAGCTAATCTTTTGGTAAGTTTTTATTTGCAAAAAGGAAAAAAAAACCTGCTTTCCTGCAAAGATGTTAGATTTCTCATTGGGTTAATATTAAAATTGTGCATCGTGTTAATAAAGACCAACAAAATCATCAGCTGAAA